CAAGGGCAGAGGGTAGAGAGAGAGGGGGAGGAGGGGATGGGGGAGAAAAGGGCAGGGGGGAGAAATAGAGGGTAAGAAAGAGGGGAGGAAAGAGAAAGGAGAGGGGGAAAAGACAGGAGGGAGGGACAATAGGGCAGAGGGGGAGTAAGAGAAAGAATGAAAATGTGAGGGAGGGAAGGAAAAAGAGGGAGGGAGGTGAGAGACAGACAGAGAGGTGAGACGGAGAGAGTGAGAGAGAGGGGAAAGGACTGCAAATAATTTTGGAACAATGCTCAGTAACCCATCATGGACTTAGACAGAGGCAGAATCGGGCCCCAGATGATTCTGGCTTCACCTGTCTCAATCAGAGAGGAACATGAGCGACTAGCGATTTTTCAGAGCTCTATTTCAGACATTCATGCTGGGACGGCATCAGCAAGTTCTCCTGAAAGTCAGATCTCTCAGAAGACACACAACAGTTAACAGCGGTGAACACTTCTCTGGCTTTCACAAACAACATCTTGAACCTGGCCTTCACATGGGGATTTCCTGGAACTTGCTGTTCTGCTAAACTCAGCGTGGGATAACCCAAACACCAGCACCCAGCCTCCTCCTCCACCTTCAGCTAGTTCTGCTCATCTCTGAATCAACATGGAGCACAGGGCAAGAACAAATTCTTTCTCACCCTCTGTAGTGCAGAAAGCTTGTTGTGATTCTCTGGCCATGATACAGGCAGTGGTAGCGCTGGATGGTACTAGTGGGATCAGGCTTGGTTCTGGCAGTCTGGAGGAGCTGGCAGACTCAGCATGCAAGCAGGAAAGCTCTGCCTAAGGCAGAGCAGAAGTGCTAAAAGCTGCAAATCTACAATTTCATTTAGCCCAGACTGTCTCACTGCTCTCTCCACTGACGCAAACAGACTTCACAATAAGAAATAGCATAGAGCAGTTAGTGGGTGACAGTCTGGGATCACAGACCATAGATATGTGGGGAGTACGTATCCTCTATCAAGCCCCTCTACTGGTTGCCTTTCCTGCTCTCTATTTGAAAGTGGCTTGGGTTAGAAACTGTCTATCAATGTGTCTGTATGTCAGAATGCAAAGAAGAAAATACGAAATAACCACAAATATTTACCATTTCTCTGCTGCCAGGTGGGCAAACGCTGTTGTTGAGGGCATCACAAGCCACACAAGAGCCCTGTTAAGAAAACAAGAGGGGAAAACTTAATCTTCTCAAAGGAACCCATTCCCCATGCCAAGAATGCTACAGAGCTACTGCTCCCAGTACATATTCAAAACTTCACAACGTGTATCAGGAACATTCCTAGGAGGGAGTTTCTACACTCTGAAATGGGGTACATTTATCACTTAAATAAAATGACTCCTTTGTCTTGAGGAGATGCTTGCATCTCACTGCAAGATGGGGTCTGTCTCCACCCTGTGAATATCTCAGCTACTAGACACACAGCTGTGCTGGAAAACACTTTGGGCATCCATGCAGCAGGCCTCACTAAACCAGCAAGTCACGTGACATGGACCCCCTGGCCACTTGGGATTAACTGTGTCTCTCCAAATCAGGTACCTCTTGCCTACTCAGAGACTCATCTTCTTTCTTCAGTAACCTACCAACCATCAAACTGGGGAGCAAGCACCTAAAATAAGGTATACAAAACCGTTCAAGTGAGAATATTGTACAGCATTTGTAGCTCCTGCTACTGAATGACTGCTTCCCCTCCAGACTGCAGGACACCAATGCTGATAGCGATGGGAACGAAGCATTTTCAGCTGAGTTAGCAACTATGGTGTGAAGAAGATCATATAAGGCCTTACGAAAAGGCAAACATACGTCTGAATCAAAGGTAGGACGGGTGCAAGAAAAGAACAACTTACAAGGAACATTTGCTGATTGCCAGCAAAGCAGCGCCAAGTGCTAGCAGAAGAAACACTGGCAGTGGTGATACTGCCTGAGTTCACATCAGGGGACCTCTTAGAGGGAACACATTTCCCAAATGCAATTTACACAGCCTGCTTTTGTCCCTCCAGGTGAGTGTGGGGTCTACAGCACACCGCTAGCGTGAGAAGGGGAGAAGCTGATTTACCGTCACAATTTTATGTTGCTCTTCATTGCATCTGTGAGGCAAAATGGGAATTATTGAAGGAGGGATGAAGATGCCGTCCAAGGTATGAATAATACCATTTGATGCCACAATGTCTCGCACGTTTAAGGGGATCCCTGATTCACCCATCAGAATTCTTCCCTGATGCAGAAACACAAATAATTTATCTGCGTTTTAGCCCATTAGATTGTATCAACTACATAAACCAATGCAGGAAACAGACGGCACACAACATAAAGTGCAAGCACAAAAATGGTCAAGCCTTTTAGTGGAGTCACGGGTTGGATAAGAAGCAAAATAATTCAATCACCTCATTTAAGTCTAGTTTTTTAAGCAGAGGGGCAAGCAGAAATGGGCTGAAACCACATTGTTCAGAATCACATCCAGACTTTCTCCTAGCACAGGAGGGTTTGCCCAAAAGAGTTTTGGTTCATACTTACATCTGCACTGATGTTGATGGTGAGTATCTGGTTAGCCATAGTAACAATGTGTGGCATCGTTATCAATTTCTCTACGGTCACCTGAAATAAAAACACAAGGGCACAGTACCATGAAAAAGCAGGGTGATTTCAGTACAGCTTCAGAATCCTTCCATGATTCCCACCACTTAAAATACCTTCTAAAGGGGACTTGACTTTAACTTGACTTTACATTTCATGAAATACCTTAAACACAAACAATGGGTCAGAAGGAAATCCAGGACTTTGTGTGAATTGTTTGCACAAACATAGCGGTGCTGGTGGCAGCAACCTTGGTTTTCATTCCTTGTGCAAGTAACAGACCAACACAGCTGAAATCAAGTCTCTCTAATAGTGTCTCTTACTAATACAGCTGCAAGTAAGGTCAGACTAATAAGGGGATTTTTCAAGACATATACAATAAACAATGAAAGCTCAGCAAGAAGCATAACAGAGTATATATTTTGACTTTATAAATAAACTTATTTCTAAAGGCAGAAAAAATGTAAACTGCAGCTACTGTACTGAGAAACTTAATGATTTGAGAAGTGAGAAGTTCTGAGAAGCAAGACAATCGTTACCTCTGTGTCCAATAGGTTATTAAAAAGTCACTCAGCTTGTTACTATGTTGTCATTCATCAATTGCAACCAAAACTACATTTTGGTATTTTATCAAAGAGCTACTCATTTTCTCTATTGGAATTAGGAAAATCACAAGGACTGACATTTGTTTCTCAGTAAAGAATGGGAATAATACTGATATTTCTTAATGAAGGAGATGATGTACCATAATGCTTGAGTATTCCCTTCCTCCACACGTTTTTTTTTTCTAATTTTAAACATTTCTCTTGTTTACTGTATAAGGGAAAATGTCTTGTTCATGCACGATATTGATTTTATTTACGCTGCCATTATAGTACACAGCAATGTTGGTGCAAGAATTGGCAGTACTGGGTCAGATCACAGGCTCACTTGCACCAATTCTTCATCTCCAACTTTAGCCAGTTGTGGAGCCCAAGGATGAAGGAAAAGGAGCAGGGAGGTTGGACCAATTCTTCGCTTGGCTGTAATTTTTGTGTTGATGCTATTCATGTTTTAGGGAAACTGTAGGCTGGAAAGTTCATAATTAAGGTACACTCCTAATTAAAAGTCTAACAAATTAAAGTGATAACAAGAGAGCATTTGCCTGCAGCAAACATTGCTGGACAATATTTTCATCATAAAGGCCACCCAACTAAGGAACATCATCACTCCCAGGAAACTCAAGAATTCCATGATGGAAGAGCACAAGCTGTCCCTTTTGGCAGCCACTTTCACGATAAACGTTTTGCCTCATCAGATCCTCAGTCATATCTCTGCTCCGCCAGGGGAAGTCCAAGAAGTAGCAGCTGAAGTCATCAACACTCTGACCTCTATGCCAAACAATACAGTTGATAACATACTGGCCTGAAGGACCCCAATTATCTGGAATTAGAGCTAGCTGCCTGCCTTACCGCTGCTGAAGTGTAGATATGATGTTTCACAAGTTCCTGAAGCTTATTTATGCCCTAAGGAAAGAAGAGAACATAAAAATCAGATACCCCTTCAATACTCAGGATTAAGAGGAAGCAACTACATTTTCTTTTAACCAATGACTGACAATGCCAATGTACTACAGCAGTGAATTCACTTGACTAATAAGTTCCTTTATTTTCCCCTACCCAAAGCCAGGGTGAGGAAAGAAAGCCAAACATCAGATTTAAACAATCTGGCTAACCATATTTCTCATTGCAGGTTCCATCAGTGTTCACTTCTCTCCCAAAGCCTTACAGAAACAGAGACATGGTTTAGCCATCTCCAGGTAGAACAACTTTCAGCAATGATCAGGTACACTGCACAAGCCATTCCAGCACAGCCTAGAGCAACACAGATCACGATGTCTTAAAGTACCACACGCTCTCACCTCTGTGAAAAGATAAATGAGCCTTCCATCTCTCAACTTATCCACACCATCATTGCTGGGTACAAATACAGTAAAGGGGCCTGGCCCATCCAGTATCGCAGGCAAGCCGCAGTTCTGCAAAAACAGTAAAAGATTTCATTGTGGATCTAGCATGAGTTAGTGAGGGTGGTCTATCAGGAAGGGAGAGGAAACTCTAAGCCACCCACTAGAGGCAGAGCTATTGAAAAGCAAACGTATACAAGGGGCAACTGGACACCAAGGATAGGTATGTAATATAACAGGGGCATAAATGCCACATAAACATAGCTTGGACAATGAAGCCACTGGTGTGAATGCAGCTAACGTGAACAAGGGAGTACTGGGCTAATGCTCCCCATATGCTTTAAACACAGACTAAAACTGTATCTTTTTGCCTGAGAGAAGAAAAAGAGAATCAAGCCTATAATCACAATTGCATTCAGTGAATTTTTTAAACAACTAACAGCCACAGAGCTGAAAACAGGCAGGCCAAGATTGTTGTGAACAATGCTAGAGCAGATCCAGATGACTCTGATGGAGGTAAAAGGAAAATCAGCCAGTCCCTAGCGAAAATACTAACTAAGAGAATCCTGGGCAGCAGCCTCAAGTGTTTATAACCTGAGAACTGCTTTTATTTAGAGATCTACAGCCCAAAACCAGGTAGCTACAACCTAGCTTGACACGGGCAGTCATGAAAGGTTCACCCTTTTTTCTGACAGTGGTCAGGAACTAAACATGCTTTGAAGAACAAACTCTCCAAGGGAGAGAGGAAGGGGAGGTGGGAAGCAGATGGGAAAGAGGGGCGTATGCTTGCTGCTTGTGCCAAAACCCCTATAGATGTGAAAACTCTGATCTTTTCCATTATACTCACCTATGAAAAATGCACAAAATAAGAAATGACACAGAAAAAAAGCATCCAGAAAGCAAGCCAAACCACGGAGATGTATTTAAATGTTATTCAAAATTCCCACAAAAGCAGCAGCAGGCTTTGCAACAGCAGCAATGCCACACCTTCCTGGGGCAGACCCAAACATACCTCCAGTATTGTTTCAAATCTACTAAAGATCTCCATCGAAGCAAGGATCTCACCAATGGTTTTCTGCAAGAAGATACAAAAGGAAAAAAATGGCTGGGGCTGAAGCAAACTCTGAGCACGTACTGGAATCCCTTGGCCAGTTTATGTTTGTGGTTTGCACGTAAAGTTCTATGGCAGACCATCATCCTCAAAGTCTCCAAACTCTCTGTATTGGCCAGCTGACCCGGCAAGGACTGAGCCTGCAGTAACTTAGGCACAAACTCCTTCCCGTGCACAACCAGATTTTCCAAGGTACTATGCACTTGAGCACTCTTCTGTTTTCCTACTCTCATCTGCAGACTAAATGAAATGAAGAGGCAATTGCTCACTACCATTAAAACTAGAGACACACTACTTTCAGCGATATATAAATCAGTTCTGGGCTGGTAGGCAGTGGAGCTGCTCTGTCATCTCAAGCCTACCTGTGCTTTGAGGGCAAGAGCTCGCTTTGCCATCTGCAAACGAGCTCCAGTGCTGAGAAACTACAATACATATGCATGTTCCTGAAAACACAGAAGAAATAGATGACTTCCTTTTTGCCATGTTGCCCATGAAGACAAAGATAACAGGAGGAATGTCCCTTAAAGCATCAAAACTTGTGAAGTGAGTTGTCTGACCTTTATTTGCAGGAATCTGCATGGGGTTTTGGCAGAAGTGCTTCCTGCAGAACACACAGAGGCCCAGAACATGATTTCCAAGGGACATGAGTACAAAGGGATTTGATGCCAAAAATGGCTCATGTGATCGCTAGCCCTCATTGCAAAGCCAACATCACAAGGGAAGGAAATATCTGAAGGAGTACAGAGAAAGACAACCTCTGCAGAGAGCACTCTCTCTGTCCTGCCATCCCAGAGTAGCTGCAAACCCTTCCCTGCAGGTACCTGAGCACACAAACACAGAGGTCCAGCATGTCCAGCTTCCCCTCTGGACCTCAGACACTCCTTTTTGGAAAATGTTGTCATGGAGGTAATAAGACTGAGAGCATCTTAAGTGACAGCAGACTTAAACATCAGTGATGGGCACAATCAAATCCATACGAACACCTAGAACTTGTACAATTAATACACCGTCCTCAGCGCACTTCAGCTGAGGAACTACTAACACTCAACACAACACAACCCTCCAGCTGCTTTTTAAACATACAAAATACAACCATAATCTTACACAGTCTGACTGTTTTTATAGATTAATTACAATGGTGTAAAGTAAGTGCAAACTACTACCAAATCCTACCAAATCCAAGAACTTGTGTCATTCTATGAGTAATTTTTTTGCAAGGAGTTAGGAGGTAGCAGGGACTGCTTTCTGCATAGAGAAACAATATAAAAATGCTCAGGCATAGCAATGTAGCAGCTATAGCAAAAACTTCTCCCAGCTAACAGTGGAGAAGTTCTGCGCTTAGCAGAACTTGAACCTGGAACCCCTGCCCAGTGTCTTAAATTCAAGACATGACTTCAAAATGCAAAAGTCTAATGATTATTTGTCCTCATTTTAAATATTGTTAATGCAAAGACAACTTTTTGGTTATAATTTCAAAATGCAGTGCAGACTGATTAAAGAAAATCTTCATTTGATTTTTATATGAAAAATGCTTTTTCAATATATATTCTGTAAGATACGACTGAAAAAAAGGGCTCATTTGCTATGAAGGGAGTGGTCTTACTCATGAAAGCAGAACTCTCTACTCATCCAAGCACTGTAAAAGCATCATTGCGAAGTCTGTATCTGGCTTATGCAATGCTATTAGCTACTCTTAATGGCATGTGGACATAATAGTGCCTAACAGAAGCTGAAAACAAAATAAATAGCCTTTTCCCTTTAAAAAAAGCCTCACTGATTTGGAAGTTTAATGATGAAAATGGATTTTTTTTAAGTGTTTATTCGGCTGTCCCATAAAACAGAAGAAATACAGATGTCTGTGTACCTGTGCGTTTTTGAGGTTGTCAGTGCTGGTTGTTTTCCTTAGGCTGTTAACGATATGCATGACGCCATTGGCTGCTGGTAGGTTCGACTGCAAAACATTGTACAGTTCCCCTGGCAGGTCTTGATATCGAAAAGATTTGATGTACGTCTGGATAATAATAAAACATTATTTGCTTGTGGTATACCTGTGTTATCACAACAGATCTATAAATCATTGTTCCCTTCAGTGCTCTCTGCCTATGGGTCAGCAAAGTGAAGGCACAACCAGAGCTACTCTGAAAAAAGTAAATTTAAGGAGTGGCCTGGGTGTAAAACAAACACCCCACCTCTACTTGAGTTTGGGTAATATTTTGATCCTGGGGGGTACTTTTAAGTCTTATTACAAAAAGAAGACCTAATCTGGGACTGTCAGTTCTAGAATTAAGTTTCTCTGAGTGTGAACAATGCTTGATCCCAGCTCTGGATTGCAAAAGGGTGCACTGACCATCACGTAGTTGCTGCATCAGTCTGCCAAGTACAAGGAGAGAGGCACGGTGCAGAGAATTTGGAGGCAATCCTGGAACTACAGCTTTGACTGCAATTTTTATTAGCTCATAATGCCAACAAGGAGTCTTCATAACAAAACCAAACCAATCAGGCTGACCAAATTATAAGGCACATATCTGGGTCCTTCCGTATTGTATACAACCATGCACTGAAGTTGGGCGTATGGGTAATCTACAAGCTAAGCATCAAGGTATTGGTGCTGCAGCCATAATCCAAGTTCAGGCAAGCACAACTTCCCCATGCTTTTCATTTCACCATCTGCTTTTCTTGCACTGCTCCTCTCTGCCCTGAACTTCAGTTCACATCACTGAGGATTCTGGCTGAAACAAAGGAAGGGGAGGGCAGACTTCCCTGATCAAAAGGCTCCTGAGTAAACAAACAGGAAAGAAATTTAAAAGGAGCATCGACAAGCTGAGTTCGGATTCCCCGGCTCCGAATAGTGCTTTGTCCTTTTGATGCATGCAGGGTGCATGTATTACGACCTAGACCCAAAGGCCAAGGCTGGACCCTCAGAGAGGAAACATACGGCCCTCCCTTGGCCAGCTGTGAGCATGCATGCAGGAAAAGTGCAGGATGGAGAGATAACAGTGGATGCTGGAAAATATGAGTCAATTGAAAAAGGGAAAATAAGCCTTCCATATCAGAACATAATGAAGAAAAACTCTTTGCTAGGGCAACTAAGAAAAATAAAATAGAAAGAGGGGAAACGGGAAACTGGAAGAGAAAATATTCAGCATGTGGCTGTTTCCAAGCACACTATCTCCAAGGAGAAGCATTAAGTCTGAAGAGAGACTTTGTTGCCTCTTTCATGTCACATGGATATTGTAGCTGCTAAGGGTGTAGGG